TGAAGAGGTACTGGTACTGTAAGAGCTGCCAGGTGACCATCCCCATCGTCCAAACGACGCGCAGCAGGAATCTATACGAGGAATCCGGCCAAACGCCGATCAACCGCAAAGTGAATTCCATCGGACCGTCGATGGTGCTCGTAGGTATCATTGTCTCCCCCTTTATCCGTGCTTCTCGATTAATTGACTGATTCCGATCTATCGTTACAGCCACCGGCCGTCCCTCTGTTCAATCGACGTAGATTCGCAATTCTATCACGTTTCTTGCAGGAGAGAAGACGGACCCTTTCTGATTAAGCGTGATCAGCCGTGAGTCACGTGCCCACGCGTATATTCCGGGCACTGATATCGGATGGGGCCGCGGTGGCTAGTCGAATGCTATGATACACCATAAAAACTTTCCACGAGGGCTGCTTGATCTCATAGAAGCAGCGGGATAAAGCGCTGCTTGCACAGAACGACTACCGTCCGACTGCAATTACCGAAGACCATTATACGAGGCGCACGTAAATGTGTAATGACCACTTTGACGGAGAAAGGGACTATCGGAGATAAGAGGTAGAGCTGCAATCGTCGTGCGTTATATCACTCGCGAAAATCGCCGACGAGATCATGAGGTCTTTGCTTTAAAAATGCACGAACATAATCTGTTAAATTGTTCTAAGAGCTCTCGGGCAATCACGTGGAAAATTAAAATACAATTGTCCACAGATAATGAAATATAATGCCCTATCGTAATAGTTCAATTTGTCGAGTCGTATTTGCTGTACATCATGAAGGAGTCGTTCGAGCGACGCTTTTGCGTCGATCGCTTGATCATTCCATTTTGGTAGATTATTTCAAGACAGATCTTTAAATACATTTTTGAGATTAAAAAAATCGAGATCAAATAATGAAAATTTTATGCTTTGTCTAAATAAGAATATATTTTCTACTTCCTTTTGTGTAAAAGTAATGGAAGAAACAAATTTTCAGAGAGTAATCTCTCGATTCTTCGATCTAAGATAACTGCAGTAAGTAAATAAATATTGTTATTGTTGGATTCGTATGAATTCATAACTGTGAGAATTCCAGTATCACCTTCAGTATGCTCCGCGATGATGTAACGCGATAATTTTACAACATGCATACAGCAGCGGCAGCCGTTGCTTCCGCTCCTAAAGTTACATTACGTAATAAATTTTATCCGTATCAGTGGATGTACCACTTCCGGGACTGGCGTAGACGTAAGATCTCGCACGTATCTCATGTAAATGTATGCACCACAGCCGTTTTGAGGAGAAACGTATCGCGCGAGACAATCCCTTCCGAAGAGCGCGCAATGATAGACGTCGTCCTTGTCACGTTTCTCCTTTCTTTCATCAACTTTCAGGTGAAAATAAGAGGAATCCACAACGCCGACATACCGTAAAAATTGTTACGTGAACGTTCTCGATGAAAATCGACTCGATTCTATACGCTCGTTGAAAAATTGCAACGATATATCCTCGCTGTATCTACGTTCTTGCCGCACATTTTGCAAGTCGATGGCCGATCTCTTCACTTGATATTATCAAATTCACTTTTCGAGAAGATAACGGTAAGATAAATCGCAGGTAGGTATACCGACTTACGCTCGCTGCTCGTTTGAAAGTGCATCATAATCATTCCTATAAATCATCCTTGCAGTTAAGTTATTGTAAACTGCAGACGTTCGGTCATCATTCGCGGTCTCATAGGAAATCATAATACCGGCAGGTAGAGAGGTGTTGCGGACAAATACGAAATAATGCGAGCCGTAAAAATTTACGCGCGCTTTGGGACGCGAATTTCAGTAGAAAAGCTAGATTGAACAATAGCGAGTCGTCGATATCAACCGAATGAAAATGTATTTTATCCATAAATCCAGAATTAAAAAGTGAGCATGGATCTATATAAACATTTTAAATATAAACATTTCGAAACGAATACATTTCTAAATTCTCTATGTAAACCTGTTCACCTTTGCAAAATTATATTTATTTTAAATCTAATTGTTAAATTTTATATTTCTCAGCATAATAATCCACTTTTGTGAATTTAATGTTTAAAGTTTTAATATAGCTGATAAAATCCCTAATGAGTTATAAAGCTTGAATTTCAAAAAAAAATTCTAATAATTTAATAATTTTAATATTTAAAAAATAGAGATTTGAAAGATACTAAAAAGATACTCGTATCTTCTTTCACATTTATAAAAATCATATAGTTTCATATCTTTGTTATACGGACACTTAATAATTTTTTCATTTTAAACACGAGTCATGATATACTTTTGAATAGAAATTTTGAATTGCTGAAACTCTTAAAAAGACATCAAATAAAAATATTTTACTTATGAAAACTTAAAGAATTGTCGATGCCGCCATCACCTAGAAAAATCTTGAATCTGGAAAAAGGCTTTGGATTATTACTGCGAAAAAGGATAGTAAGTAATAGCAAAGGTAAAAATTACAATCCATAATAATACACTGTTGTACATATATTTCAAAATTCTCTCTGTATAAAAATATAATATAATATATAAATTGTTATTTATACAAATTCTATCAAAAAGTAGTAACAATAGCACTATTACGCAAGCGCTTCAAAAACGTCTCTCCTATGTTTTATTTATTATAATAAGAATCTTTCGTAAAGAAAGAAAAAACAAAGATTTTCGAGATTTTCATCAAATTAACGTATCACGTAATTTTTTTTCAATTTGATCAACACACGTTTTAATAAACATTATCTCAACAAAGGAATAAATCTTGTAAATTGCAATGATCGAAAAATTATATACATAAGCATGGATGAAAAGATAGATTGCTCATTTCTATCGGGATTAATCTGTAATTGTATTGATTCATTCGAATTGAAAATAATTACACCATTCATGTAGTGTATTTCAATTTCAATAATTATACCGCCATCAAAAATGTAATTACGATGCTGCAATACGTCCATATATTTCAGCGTATAAAACCGATATTGAACGATAAAACAATGTGGACCATCAAATATTTACGTAATCAACCAGCCAATGAGTTGATCGATTGATATATTTTACATGCCGTTGTAAGCTGGCCCGCCGCCACCCTCCGGCACGACCCAATTGATGTTCTGGCTCGGGTCCTTGATGTCGCAGGTTTTACAGTGAATGCAATTCTGCGCGTTGATCTGCAATCTTTCGCCGTCTCCGCTTTCCAACGGCACGAATTCGTAGACACCTAAAACCAGATTGCACACACGTGTTTTGGATTTGCAAAATAAACTGCCCTCACATATCTTCCTCTCCTAACGATGAAGAGTTGGGCATACATCTGGAAATCACCGAGCGTCTCTCCAGCTTGCTAAACCACGAAAATTACTACCGACTGTAATAACGTGAGTAACTTATTATGTAAGGTTGAAAACCGTCGTTTGACTGTTCTACGAAAATGCTAATAATGTCGCAACGCGCGGGATGATTTATTCAGCGCAATTTATTCAGCAGACGCATATATCCTTGGCACTCTGCGGAGGGTGAGATTTACGCCGCGAAGGTCACGCCGTGCCCTCGGCCAGACAGTCGATAACCTGGTCCCCACCATCTTCCAGACGGCGCAGCTATCCTGTAGGAAAGTGTAGGAAAGCTCCCAGACGAATTCCTCGCCGATACCCCGACTCGCCGCCGGGTTCGAAACGGGAAGACGCACCCCGGAGAAGCGGGAAGGAAAAGCATAGGAATGAAGAAAGAATACATCGTAAAAATCAAGGGTATTCAAGAAAGATGGTGAGAGGGCGGGCAAATAAATTTATCTGATTTCGAAGGCGTTTATGTGACACAATAAAATATATAGGATATCCCTATGCAAACTTTCAGCCATAAAGTTTAAATTAAGAAAAACGCTCGTTGTGGCAATGAATTTAAATAATATAAATTTAAAACTAATCAAATGATTTCGAGGATTTAACAAGATAATAAAATTTTGTTTTTAAATTGTATATAAAAATATAATAATAATTGAGTTTTCTAGAATTAAATTCCAGGATATTTAACAGTTAAAAAATTTAACCATTAAATTTTTATAAACAAGTGTAAAAAAAAGTTGATCTTAAGTTCACTGACAGATCTGTAAATTAATCGCCTAGTCACCTGTTTAAGAACATGCTTATTACAATTAAAGTAATTTTTGCAATAATAATAATTCTTTTATTTCTAATTAAACATTTCTAATTCCATCCTTTATCCCTGTGCAGTAATAATTTTGAATTTCTTATGTAACAGCAACAACATCTGTCTGATTTTCCATAGAATTATATCATTAAATTTAACAGTAATTACATTTGCCTTGTACACAATGCAGAAATTATATTACCGCAAAATTTGTATTTGTAAGAAATGTATTTAATAATAAAAATAAAGATATTCAAATAGTAACTAAAATTTTCAAACTTTATCAAATTAACTAATATAAACATTATAATTAATTTACCTAATGGAAAAATCATTTTATATTACATACATACATATAATGTATAGTTCACTCTGTTATAATAATAAGACCAATTTTTAAGAACGATTAATAACAAATTTGATTATATCGCAGTACTTTCATTGTTTCAGGATTAATACAATATAAGAAAATTCTTAAGGAACAGAGAGAGAAAGAATAAATCGACGATGAGGTTGTTGGCCGGAGCTACAGAGCGCTGTTCGATTTTGGGGATTGAGCTTGGTCCGGGGTTGTCTAGCCATGCGGGGGTTGTCCGGGTAGCTCAGGTTCAAGGACACAACGGTCGATAAACCCCCGACAAGACTGGAAAAAGGAAGGGAAGGGAGATATGGCTCGAGGGCGGAAGTGGAAGGAGCTGGAATTGCCTGTAGACTGCGAAAATTTATTGCGAACAAAATTGATCTCTCTTGACAATAGTACCTTTCAAGTGCTAAATAATTTATCATCAGATAAATTTTTCGCAAAAGGCAAGCAAATGTTTAAACAATTAATAAAATCGTACAGAAGTGGAAATCAAATTAAAAATTCAATAAGTCTCAAGAAATATATTGCATTTATATTTTTCCTGCAACAAATTTTAATAGATTTGGAGTTAACTTTTATTAATAAATATATAGTAAGTAATTTAATTATATGTTGGGAAAAAATTGCTTTAAAATTATCTGTTAAATATCTAAAAATGAAATAGGGCACGAATGACGTAAAATTATACGAAATAGATATCAAACTCTGCAATGCGGTAAGTATACTACTTATTCATTCTTAACATAATGAATTTCTCCGTCTGCGCTAACAGAATAAGACCGTTGTTGGAGGAATTGAGTTTAATGAATATTTCCAGCATTTATGACAGGAAAATATTGTATGAAGGATATTGTATTATAATTTTCAAATGCAGTCGAATGAAGAGAAATAATCACGAAAGAAATTGTATATATAATCAGTAATAAATTTGTTTGCCAAATCGTTATATAATGCTATATAATAGTTTAAAAACTTTTTTATTTAATATGCTCTTATCAAAAACTATAATATTGAAAAGTTAATCTTAATATTCAAAAAGAAATAAAATACGCTCGTAAGAGAGAACAAATACAATTAAAATAAATAAAAATTGAATATCAAGAAAACAAAAGATTAAATCTATAAACATGATATATTTTCCCATGTACACCCGAGTCTAGAAATGTATACCTTTTTGCAAAATAAATTCACTGAATATATAGGTACAAAAGCATAAATTTTTTTATATATCGAAATTACATTAAAATTGATTTACTGAACAAAACATTTAATTTAAAAATTTTTTAAATCAAATTTTCTTAGACAGACTCAGCTGCTGTCGCTATTAATCACGGATTATATTCACACATACACGTATATATCGTAATAAATATATTCAATCAAAATCCATAAAGTTTATTAAAGTCAACCTACTATACACGATTCGCAACAATAGAATATATCTCACATTCAATCAAGAATTCATAAGCATTAGTAAACACAATACATTAATAAAACGATAAATGTATAATGCAATAAATTGACTTACCAGCGGGACAAAATCGACCTTCCGGGCCAGCAAATTCAACCAAATTTCTCTTTACCGGAACGGTATCGTCCATCAAAGTTAAATGGGCTGGTTGATCAGCTTCGTGATTGGTACCGGTTAGAGCAACTGATGACAGAAGATCAAAGGACACCTCGTTATCTGGTTTGGGATATTCTATTGGCGTCGACTTAGCTGCGGATTTCAACTTCTTATGATCAGGACCTACAAACATACGGTACAAAAATGTTTAAAATATTTGAAATTAACGCAATATTTTCAAGAAATTTCTTCAAGAAATTTTTCAAAAAATTTTTCAAAAAATTTCCTGCATAAATCTATTCTTACCTCCGTGAGACAAAGTCCACGGCTCCTTTCCACCCAGTAACATAGAAAACCCAGAGTACATTAAACCACCGTAAAGGCCAAGAGAAGAGTGAAAGCTGGGTCTCATATTTCTTACGGCTTTCAATTCCTTATAGATCCAGCTATTTTTTATTTTATCTGTATACGTTTTCGGCTCTAAGCCTTTCGTCGATGAGGTATTATTTTCTGCATCTATAATCGCCTCAATAACGCTTTCTGCAGCCAACATGCCACTTTTCATAGCATTGTGAGTTCCTTTAATTTTAGGCACATTTAAAAAACCTGCCGTACATCCAATAAGACAACCACCAGGGAACTGCAGTTTTGGAATAGATTGAAATCCACCTTCTACCAACGCTCTAGCACCATAAGCTATTCTAGAATTACAAAGAACAAACTGTAGAGAATACAAAATAATACAATTAAAATCTCGTATTGTACTTTTATATAAAGATACCAACCTTTTCCCTCCTTCAAATGTTGGTCTAATACTAGAATGCTGTTTAAACCTCTGAAACTCTTTGAACGGAGATAGATAGGGATTAGTATAATCCAATCCCACGACAAAACCTACTGCTACCAGAGGTGTTTCTTCATTTAAATGGTATAGAAACGATCCACCATATGTATTTCTATTAAGTGGCCAGCCAACCGTATGTTCCACTGCTCCAGGTCGATGCTTGCTTGGCTCTATCTCCCAAATCTTACAAAAGATATTTTACTTTAAAATGTAAAACATTTTATATTTGTATAATTTTAATTTCTTCTTTTAGATTTAACTCGACAATATAATTACCTCTTTCAATCCAAGGCCGTACGTCTGTGGCTCACAATCTTTTCTAAGATTCAATTTCTTTGATAACTGTTTCGTCAGGTGACCGTGACAGCCTTCTGCAAATATTGTACATTTCGCATGAAGCTCCATACCCCGTTCGAATGTGTCTTTGGGTGAGCCGTCTTTAGCAATACCAACATCATTTGTGGCCACTCCTTTAACAGATCCATCCTCGTGATATAAAACTTCTGCCGCTGCGTAACCAGGATACATCTCGACACCAGCGGCTTCTGCTTGCTCGCCAAGCCATGTCACTACGTGGCCTAACCTATACAGAAATATACAAATCTTTATAATCGAAACAAATGTACTATTTAGCCTTCATTCACAAATTTGTGACCACATTAAATTTCGACTTGCCTTACTATGTAATTTCCATGGTTATACATTGGCATTCCCTTGAAAATAGGTATAGATATCCTCCTCTTTTCTGTGAGAAATGCAAATTTATCCTCCGTAACAGGGGTATTTAATGGCGCACCTAATTCTTTCCAATTTGGAAAGAGCTCGTTCAGGGCAATCGGATCCAGACAAGCACCACTGAGGATATGGCCACCAATTGCAGACGCTTTTTCAACAAGGGTAACCCTGAGTTCCTTACCATGCTTCTCGGCCAGTCTACGGGCTTGAATAGCTGCCGATAACCCCCCTGGACCGCCACCGACAATTAGAATGTCGGTTTCGTCCACGTATCTCTCCATGTTCACATCTAGTGGATAAAGAAAAACATTCTCATTGCATTAATCATATTATTTTTTTTGTTGAATAGGAAACGTTAAAGGAGATATACCTTTCCATCGTGAGTCCGTCTCTCTGGGTTTCACCGTATAATGAGTGGTAATCTGAGGAAATTTGGTCTCCGAGTAAGTCCTCTGAAAAATCCTTTGTAGCCTCTGTACTGCCAAAATGTAACCAAAATTAAACTAGAACATGCAATTCAAGTTTCTACATTCATATTAGAACATTTCATTGTGTATATATATACAATAAACGCATTATATTTAATGTAAAAGTGCATACATTCAGACAAAAAATAAAGAAATCTTAGAGATTACTTATAGAGAATTTTTAAAAATTCAAAAATTTCAAAATTTAGTTGGAATCACTTATGCATATGTGTAGGCACATGTATTAATTGCTATCGATCACGAAATTTAACTTTGCAGTTTCATGCTTCTGCAAAAATTTGTTTTTCTTTTTTGTTAGAATATTCCAATATTTTCTTCTCTTGTTTTTTAATTCAAATCAAAATACGTTTACTGATAAAACAAAAATTTATTTTCTCGGCTAAAAATTTTTTCAAACTTTTAGCTTTTAAAAACAAAATTAATAAGATTTAAGGAAAAAAGAACCGAGATAAAAAGAATAAGTGCAGAATAAGTGCAGAAAGTAGACTTTTTAGCACTTAGAAGATATTTATACGTCGCGGGGGCAAAGGGCAATCATGTTTGCCTGTCACGTAATGCAATCGCTCTGAGATTAATGCTTGATAGTCGATTTTCATTGAAACAAAAAACAAAGACACAAAAAACGCGAAAGTAAACACGCATTTATTTCAAGCAATAAACATTTAGTAACAGAATAAACAAACAGACGCGATTCAACGATATCGCAGAACGAGCGATAAGAATATTTATATACATACTTTACGTAATTTAAATACTTTTTGTAATACTTTTAACGACGTTACATAACGTCATGATATATTTTAGAAATCATAAATCATCTCATCGACAAAATTATTTCTCGCAAAGTTTCGTGTTATCGTTACAGTGAGAACGATCGCTCATTCTCCGAAACGGAGCATCGAGTTTTAAACAATACGGTTGTTGTCTTCGAGTCTACTGTCAATCCATCGCGATAAGATTAATAAGATTACACGTGGCTGCAAAATTCTGCTGACGTTAACGCACTTACTGATGCCGGACGCATTGAATATTGTAGAAGTCATAATCGCGCACATGCGATGCACAACTAGCGAGCGGCAACCTGACAATTCTATAAAAAAAAAAGAGAGAAAGAAAACTGCGACACGTACGATTTGATGGCAAATAGTCAAAGTAGAAGCGTCAAAGTAGTGTCGGCAAAAATAAATATCTCGAGCGACATCTGTGAGATATAAGTTCAAGCGTGTTCCACGTTCGAGGTGATTAATCGACATGCGACTTTCGATTATATAGATACTTCGAGAATCGTAAGCATCATAAAGAGCGGTTTACATAGAGGGCGTAGATGTATGTGCATACACGTAAAACGTAGAATCAGAGAGGATCCTCTTTGATAATAGACCAACTTTTGCTGTGGAGGGGGTGAACTGGGACCCAATAAGAGTGAACTGGGCACAATCTCCCCCACATTTCGGCTTCATTCCCCTCGCCGAAGTTACGACTTTATGCTCTGTCCCCTTGTATTCCTATGTCCATGATCGTAACGTGTTCAATCGGGATCCTCCCTGGCTCAACATATAGATTTATTCTCAATTAAAAAGAAATTATATTACAGTATTGGATTCTGGCCTGGCCGTCTTAACTCTCAGCGGAGAGCAGACGCTATATAAAAAAGAAGAAGAAAAAGAAGATCGCATCGATCGTACAGTTGTGCGTCGCCTGTGGGCTGTGCGCGATTATGGCTTTTGCGATGTTCAATGTGTCCGGCATCAGTAAGTGCGTTGGCGTCAACAGAATTTTCCAGCCACGTGTAATCTTATCGCGATGGATTGACAGTAGTAGACTTGAAGACGACAACCGCACTGTTTCAAACTCTGTCCCGTGTTCGGAAAACGATCGTTCTCACTGTAACGACAATGCGAGATTTCCCGAGAGATAATTTTATCAATGAAGCGATTAATGATTTATAAAAATTAAGCTTCACACGATGCATGATTTTCTGCATGATAGACTTGCATGCTGCTGGGTCTGCTCTGATGCATGCTAGACACCTTCACGCATCAAGCCCGTATCAGACTAAAGATTGAGATTAAGATTGAATTAGGATTTAACCAATTAGAAGGAAGAAAACCAATCTCAAATTTAGTGAACTTTGTTTTAATTGGTCAAATTTCATTCTAATCTCAATCTCAACGAGCTTTAAGCCCGTACCACACTAAAGATTGAAATTCAGATTGAATTGGAATTTGACCATTCAACAGGGCTGCGTTCAGGAGCTGCGTTCCGCAAAGCGCATCATGCGCATGATATAGCATGATATCCTTGTTGTTTATCAAATGTTAAACAAAGATAAAAAAAGATCAATCTTGCGCATAATGCACTTTGCGGAACGCAGCCTGGAATTTATGATATATCATGTTATCCTTGTTATTCACCGAATGTTAAACAAGGATAAAATGATATCTAGAAGCACCTAGGCGAAGTTTCTGAACGCAGCCCAGCTTTTCTTAGATAAACCGTATCTGCCACATAAGAAAGGTTATGCGCAATACGATATCGTCGTTAAGCATTTGAGAATCCCGGTATTGTGGTCAGAAAGCAAGGAAATTGGCATCATGAAAATCATGCATTGTATGATTTTATAACCTTTACGTGACAGGCTAACGTAAGGGCTGATTGCCCTTTGCCTCCACGATATGATATAAATATTTTCCAAGTGCTCAAGGTCCACTTTCTGCACTTATTCTTTTTTTCTCGGTTTTTTTCTCAAACCTTGTTATATAGATCGGAAGAGCACACG